ATATAGTCAAAGTCCTGTATCATATCATTTAGATAAAACTTTATCAATGAAATTTCATAATTTTTTGATCCACTTGTAAAAGATATGCGATTACTTTATTTTGTTTCCAGAATTGAAAAGAATATAAAGGACTGAAGTCAATAAAACCAAAAAAGAAAATAGTGAATGCAAAGTATATGGACGCGCACTGCTGAGGAGTCCCAGACTACGACGAAACGGCCGTCCAGTGATTCCAGGTTTTCCATGGTGGTGTAGCTTCAACTGATTCATGATCTCAACCATTAAAATAAACTATATTTTGTCATTCAATGTGATTATAAGTACTTCGATATTTTAAAAGAACTTCTAAATAACTAAACTAATGGATAGATATGTGATTCAAAGAAATCGTCGTTAAGTAAGATTAGTGTTAATGAAACTAAATCTGAAAAGTCAAGTCTTTACTGACATTGATAATAGATTCTTTATGATTTGGATATTGATTCATAAAATGTGAATGAAGTTATCGACAATCACGCCTTATTCTATCAATAATGAAAATAATCGACATCTTTTTTTACTTTGTCTATAAAAGTCAATTTGAGTGTTTTCTTAGTTTATGTATCATTATCACTAAGAATGTATTATGATATGTATACAATAATCTGAAAGGATTCTAAGAATATTCAATCAAATTAATGTAGTTTTCAGTAGTCATGTAACCATTAACTGGTTCTCATATTTCATGAATTAAATACAACATAACTGGGGAAAAAATATAATCATAGATGTAAATCTTAATGGAAGTATTAAGTCTCTAAAGGTAATAATTAAGTTTTACTGATGATTATTAAATAGAATTGAAATTAGTATCAAAGCTTCCTGTGGGATACCTCAAACTGTCTTACATTAAAGCTCATTACGATGTTGATTATTTTAAGGTTGTAACCACACTAAAACCGAATTTGAATAGGACCAGGCTTCAAGTAACTTGATACTGGTCATATTTCAATCGGCAGCTAGCTAGCATAGATAAAATTCATGCTAATGAAACTTTAAAAATGCAGCAATTAGTCTTTTCTTAAACAAGATGAAGACCTTTGCCAGATGAAAATACCTTCCCTATAAACATTTTATATAGTAATCTTTGTATCCTTATGCAATAATATGAAGCGGCCAATATAGAGGGTGATAATATCACTATTTGTTTCTAGGTTGTCTGAGCTAATTTACTCTAACCGCATATATAATGCAAATGAAGTAGAGTCACTTTGAGTGGCGGTTACGGTGGAACTTAATAAATACAATCTGATCACTTCGAAGAACTAGACAGATATGACATTAGACTCTATCAGGCTATGCCACACATTTTAATCATCTTTGATACTGAGTATTTTTCTTCAATCTTATCATATGGTGTGGAAAATTTCACTGGAATGGAATGATGAATATCCATTAAAACTTTTTCATTTATTTTCATAAATTTTATACATGTACATATGTATTTGTTAACAAGTAAACTGGGAAGCAATAAGTGTTTCTCATTCACTAAACATTTATTGTTCATACAATCAATAAAATATTAATAATCACACAAATTTGAGTCAACGACATTACGACCTTTAGAGCACAAAACTAGTAAACCAAGAGGGTCGTATGTGATCATCCCTTAATGCGTTGTCCCTTGGGTTCTCAATTGACCCATCTAGTTGGTTAATACTACTACTACTACCGATTCAGTCTCATTTTCAGATACCTCAGGAAATATCCTTTCATAGTGCGGGCGATCGAGGAGTAATGATCACTTACACATTTTTAACATCACCAGAGATTATCTTATCTATCGTCATATTCCTTCATCACTTAGCTGATGATCAATGTTTTGTAACAAATGATATCAAATAAACTTTTTTAGAAAAAGTAAATGTATTTTTAAAACCGTTAATAATCGTTTTTGTCTTATGCTACCTACATAATTATATAGTTCCTAACATTTGTTTTATCAAACTAACATCAGTTGAAGTATTCACACAATATTTTCTGTCTTATATATTCGAAACGTAATATACATATACTCAAATATATTTCTATAAGATATGATAATCTAAATCAGTTATATTCACCAAATCTTTATTTTTGCTCCAAATGCTTTTTTAAACTGTCATAGAATTGCATACTTTATACATACAGTTATATATATGTATATAGTAGATATTAGTTAGATAACAAATAGGGTATTTGTTGTCTTATTCTCGTTAATCATTGTATAATGCACATTTTAAACGACAATACACAACTATACACATTTTTTTCATAAATGGACATAATTTATCTCAAACAAACATTAATTTGATTATATCTTGCTTGATAAATTAATTTGTGTGTTTATTAATTACATATGAATAATCAGAAGGGGTTTTCGTGAAGATTTAGTATTATCATAGTTGAAAGCGTGAGTCAATTGAAGCTAGACCACCAAGGAAAACTTGAAAGCACTGGACGGCCGTTCCGTCCTGCTGTAGAACTCCTCAGTAATTCGCATCCACGACCTCCCCTAGCCAGATTTGAACCCAGGATCTACCAGTCTCGCGCCAGAGCACTTAACCAATAGAAAACGAAGGTTCACATTACAAATGGTTTAGTTATCATGATAGTTCGTAGTGAAGTGATTTGTGAAGAATTCATGACATTTGAGGATTAACTATCATTACGAGTAAGTGCTCAAATGCTACTTTTTAATCATTTGAAACTTGATAATAATGCATAACTATCACCTTATACATGATGTCTAACTCAAAGGTATCCAGTTAAATATAATTATTCTACCGTCATAAATCTATTGGGAATAAGAATCGGCTAATATGAATTCAGTTACTTAAAAACATGGTGTTCATCAAGAGAGACCTAAAAACTTAAGATGAAACAGTTATTCACCTCACTTTACTTTTCGCAATAATTCTCTAACTTCTGTCAGTTTGTGATAGAATCGGTTTTCAATTTTTGTCAAAAAAGAAAAAAAGACATTTGCGGTTTCATAATCCGGCTTATATCTTTAAAAGATGAAATTATTCTTTTTTACTAATCAGTATGAATAAATTATTTCCGTAAAATATAATTGTATGATCCAGTTACTTTTTTTTGCATTCGCCCAAAACAACTTATTGGCAAAATAAATGATATTACTCATTTATTCATGTTAACTAATCCAACAAAATTCGATAGAATGTGAAGAAATCTTAAATTAATCTCTATTTGATGGAAGAAAGGTGAACAAATCCAACGAAAATTAATTTATTTATTGAGAAAAGGTGTTCCAATTTTCTTATCATCTTTATATAATTGTTAGAATGTTAATGTAATGCATATTTTGTACTGGATGAAGCATTAGTCTTAAGACTATTGGATTAAATGTTTGAGTCCTAATGTATTTATATTATACTGAATAGGGATTGAATATCACCAGTCTTGATAAGTGAAGTGTCGCTTAAATTCCCACTTGGCTATTAAATTTTGTCACTATTGCTTCTGAATTGAAATAATTTTAAATGAGATTAGAATTTCATTTAGGAACCCCACTATTTACACTTGTTTTGATTAATAAGATTTGTAGATTACTGATAGATATAATGAGTGTGTTTTCCAACAGAACAACATTCAAATTGTAGCTCGATCAGAACTATAACATTTTGTCAGTTCTGTAAACAGTATACTCTATGCTTCTATTTTCACAAGATGATAGAATGTTTATGAACGTTACTATATATTTAAACTCAATAAATCACTAACTTTGGAGTTGATACATTTGAAATAGGAAAAGTAAACAATATTTGATTAAACACTGAAGATCATTTAATCAAAATACTACTCTACTTCTCGACAATTACTTCTTACAACACTAAACAGTTTGTAATCTATGAGCCTATCAGTCAGTATTATTAGTTTCATGTAATTTATCAAACAAAACAAGTAGATCAGTAGTATCTGTTGTGTTGAATGTGTAAATGTATACTTGTTCGCTCAATATAGACAATTACACACATTTTAATAATCACATTGTTTGATGTACGATAAATAGGATCATCTCTATTATGAGTCAATAAAAACAAAGTGTTTATAAGTTTACTTATAGGTGTGCTATGTAGTAATGATAACCTTACAGGATATATATGGGTCTCATTCGTAAATATTATCCGTAACATACGTCTTAATGTCCCTAATGTATTGGTAAACATGATAACTGATCCCGTTGATGAAATTGATTATTGATAAATGAGTATAACCGTTCATTCCTATGTCCTTATCTGCGTAGTGTACGTGTGAATACAAACAAACCTGATGTTAATATCATCATTAAACAGTTGAAAAACCTTCCAAAAAATATAATAAAATATTTCAATCTCTTTTAAATTTGGTTTTATCCTATTTTTTATAAGTGACTTTTTCCATCATAAGTTTACGTTAAAAACAATAATCAGGTTGTAGCTGTCTTATTGAGTATACCTATGTATTTGAATGTTACTGTAGTACATTTTTTTAAAATATGATAATTACCTAAATTATTCTGTTTAACTGTAATAACATTTTGAGTAAATATTTGTGAGAAACATTCAGTATAAATTATTCTTCGTAATTATTAACATAACTGTTTATCACCATAGTCTTCTTCAAAAGTATGATCGATTTAGGTTGTAAATACTTCCCTCATCAAAAATGTTGAAATCACTTTCCGGGGTAGTATTTTGTTAGTAAAAATATTTTAATGATCTACAACTCAGTAGTTTAGTACTCGCATGATGTCTAGTTCATTTTTACTGTGAATAATCGACTAATGTAACTAGGATTCATATAAAAATGATATGAATTTAACCCGAAATGTGATGAACGAATTGAATAATCTTAGCTTATCACTCATTTAATTTCGTCATTGAATCCCACTAGTGAAGTATATTACTTGTGATACATTAACACAAAAATGAATTGAAATAAATACTATAAGCCTGAAGATTTATACATTAACTTACCGTCCACTTTTAGTAATCACCATTTCGGTACCATGACAGTGAAATTTATCCCATAATGACTTATCAATTAATTCTACTTCTGGTTGAATTCCACCTGTTTCTGATGATGTTGTCGCTCCTGTTGATGACGATGGAGATGTTGATGACAGTAATAAGTTTGATGAGTCCATGCTAAGTTGATGATTGAAATTTGGTGGCAATAATAATGAATTCGGACATGATTTAAAATCGGTTGGTAATGATGTTGATGATGATGGTGATGTACTATTGCTGCTTTTCTTTGTGTCTTTATCTTTTGTCATCTGCAAGTTGTCTGTTTTCCAATTATTTATTGAATAATTGTTCATACTGTTCATGCTGTTATTACTATTATGGTTAGTATTATTACTATTATTAGTAGTAGTATTACTATTGTTGAATAATAATTGTGATCCCATAACAGACGCTACAGCATTCATAATTGAATTAATATCAGGTGTATTGTTGTTCATATTACCAGTACTATTATTAGTATTTTTGCTACTATTATTTATACAACTGCCAAGATTCATTCCATTGATCAATGGATTGCATGGTGATGATGTTGACATTTTAAAATTGTTTGTAGCTAATGCTGCGGCAGCCATTGCTGCCATTGCTATAACTGATTGAGAATAATTCATTTTCATGTTATGGACATCATTTAGAATAGATGTAGATCCTGGAGAAGTAGTTATTGTATTCATGGTTGCATTTAGAGTACCCGACAATGGATGATTATTTCCTGTAGTTTCTTGATTTTGTTTATTTGAATCTAACGTTAAAAAGTGATTAGGAGAAAATGGCGAATTAATTTTATGTGTTGCTGTAGATGACATTACTGTTGGATTATTGGTATTCCCAATCGTCGATGAAACAATGGATCCAGTTAACTCAGTCGTATTTTTAGGACACTTGAAAAGAGAATGTGTTTGATCATATTCATTTGTATCTTCAAACGATGATTCAGATAAACTGTGATTATTTCTGTTTAGTTCGACTAAATTGTCACTTAAATTCGGTGGAGATTTGAAATTAGATATTAGATCAGCATAATGTTTCTTATCCCATAAATTATTAGTTAACCATGATGGTATGGGTAATTTCATTGCTTGTTGATTTCGCTGATCATGGAAATCTGTGACTGTAGTTGGATTCAATGCTGCTGTGGACATGGCCAAAGTAGATTGTGAATCTAAACGTGAATTATGAATTGGATGAGATATTGGTAAATTGTTTGACTGTAAACCTAGTAAGTTTGGTAATCCAAGTACTGAGTTTATTCGAAAATTACGATTCTCGTTGTGTGAATTATGATTATGTGATAAATTTATCAATTGTCCCGTTGAAGAATTAAAAGTCATTATTCTCGAAACATCGAATATGTTGAATTGGTATACAATAAAACAATTTCTGAATTAATATATAATGCTATACCCAATTGTTTGAACAATTTAAATGTAAATTTAGGTAGAATGAAATTCACTTGTTGGCTGTCTTGTAGAAAATATGTGGGAACTATTCGTATAAGACTGAGAATAATAATATAGGGGTAGAAAAATATTAGAAGTCGCTGATATCATTGATAGGTGGTGAAGTCGGCACCTTTTGGCGTGATTTTCATATAAATAATAAGGCATAACAAGTATCCAATTGGGAATGCAGGTGTGCAAAATATTGGAATTAAAGAGTGGGGCAGACTAATCTATTTTACATTTCTGTCACTTGGATAGTATTATTTTTTATCTTTCTATTAAATATGTGCCAATGATTAAATAGAATGTTTGTGTGTTATACACGTGTGGATAAGATTTTTTGTTCAAATGTATGTTCACCTGTAGGCGGCTTGAATCAATCACATCATTAGCTATCAGTCTCACCCACTACTTCTCACCCTTAAAATAGACACACCAAAATTCAGTGATTCTATTGGTAAAATGAAAATTAAGTTGACTATTAATCGAGACATTTATTATAATTGGTCAGTCACACCTTAAGTTTATAACTGCGTGAACATCTTCTTACTTAAACCCTTACCCTAAATTAAACTGAGTCCGATTGTATTTAGGACATATACTGTTTGTCTCAATGCAACATGTTAAAAGTAGCAACGCCTTTTGAGATCATGTGATGCGAATGAAAATACCACATAGGGATATTACCCTTGCGATAAACTAATCTATAAGAGTACTTGGAGGGAAGAAATTTCTTGTGAAATTAGCTTTTTTTATAATGAACAATTAATTAGCGATAGCAAACAGGTTTTTTGTGTTGCAGAATACTTGGTACCTTATTGAAACTGAACAATTATCTAAAATGTAATGAGAGTTATTTCTGAAATCCTTGATCATCAAAAATTTCTATTTCTATTATTTCAGGTTAACATGTTAAGATCGTTTATATATTATAAATTAGCATTAGTTAAATCAACGCTATAAATCAGTATGTGGTGAATAGATGTTCTATTATTTTTATGCAGCATCCCTCTGTAATATACAACTCTTGATTTTATTCTCAGTTTAATATAAGATCGAATCTCGCGAGGCGAGATTGTGGATGCGCACTGATGAGGAGTCTCACAATAGGACGAAACGACAGTCCAGTGCTTCCAGGTTTTCCCTGGTGGTATAGATTCAATTGACTAACGCTTTCAACTATGAAAATAATATAAAATTGTTTGATTCCGAAATTAATGAATTTTATCCCACAAACTGAATCACAATTCTGTACAACAATATCAAACACAAATTATCAGGGTAATACAACTTTTAGGTAAAGTAGACAGCATAAATCTCCATGTTAATTATCTTATTTTATTTATATTAATACTAATAGGGATAGTAATCTGATTCCCCGGTTTAATATCTATTCTATTTGACAGATTTCTGATAATCGACTTCAGATTCTCAGTCTGAATTATAAATTTTGTGTAAAGTTTAATAATTCTAAATTTACCATTTACATCATTTAAGACTATGATCATGCTAATTTGAGATACTTCTACAATATTTATACTCTTTTATACTACTCATTCACTATCAATTAGATAGTAGTGAATAAGGTGATTAGAAAATTGTATTCTAAGTTGAAAATAAATTCGAAAGCGGAAATAAAAGTGAAATATAGCAAACAAGTAATGCAACTGACAAGTAAACATACCTGTATTTTTAAAGATAATGTTAGATGTATATAAAATAGAAGTTCTGAAATCTCAATAAAATACAATGATGACTTACACGGTTCGAATGTTTACTATGAATAAATTTAATATGATAATATGTTGACAAAAAAAATCTATAGTATGTTAGATCACTAAGGTGTACTAAGGTGTGAGATACTTTAGTTGATAAAAATTCAATGAATCTTGGTAAAGACGTCCATCTTCGTATGCTGAGCACTGAGTTAAATGGTCACTCAAACTGAAATTAATTTAATGTGATAAGAAGGGAAATACTTCCGTGTTGTATGAACAAACCAAAGGACCAAAGTAGAGTAGTGTAAATGATCTCAGAATGAACATTCAAAGCAATGGACACATGTTCTATTACTTACTAAATTTGAATTACTGTTTAAACAACTAAAAATCGTATTAATCAATGACACTGAGGAGTAATCACATTTGTAGTATTGATGAATAGTTATTTTATAAGATTATTCAGCTAGTGACTCAAAATAACAGTGTATTCTACATGGTAATGAGTAACCACAACTTATTAACAGGAAACTGTTATCAGTCTAGTAGCATCCTTATTTATAATTAAAAAAACGCATGATTCTTTACTTACATATCCAGGCCTATAACATTATAATTTTCATTCAGAGCTATGTTTTGTCAACCTGACGAATTTCTCAAATAAAATATCTTTTTTGTAAATTTCATGTATAACTGAATGTGTATTCTATATTAGTCCATAAGATAGCAAATGGACTCTTTGGTCTATGCTCAAATAGATTCGAACCAATATCATTCATTATCTTAGGTCTACATGTACTGTATGCAAACAAATGTCAATCAGAGTCAAATCTAGTTCTCTTCGACTTTTCAAATAAAAATATTAATAATAACGAAACAAAAATAATCACGTATATTATTAATTGTATGCGCTTGTATTTTCACATTGTTAATATTCAAGATTGAATTCTCTCAGTGTTTATTGTTACATCGTCTATTTGACCAGATTCAATGATTTCATGGACTGCTACCACGCTTTGGTTTAGCCTCCAATGACATTCATGCAAACTACTCCTATACAAGGTAGATTGTGGGTGGAAAAACGTGGAACATGTCTGATCCACCTTAAACAAAAAATATTCTTAATACTCTACTTCTCATTTTAAGATTCTCCATTTCTCTGTTTCAAATACAATGACCCCAAGATACCTATGTTCAGAAGAGAAACTATTTACATATTTTAGTGGTCGACTAGTATTAAAGCTAGCCAGTTGAATATTATTCTATTCCAGATTCCCTGTCTTGATTGAGACCCCAACTCAATAACCGTCGACCGGAATATCGAATCACGAACGTTACCAATATTTTAACGAAGTTATATTTATTTAACGATAAACTAGAGAATTTATAGCTTTCCTGCAAACGATATTGAGGATTAAATCTCATCGTTGGGCGGTGTATGCTGCTTCATTAAAGTTGGTGCGATAACCGCAATCAATGGTTTTAGATATTGGGTAATATATATCTTAGAATCGATTACATTAGTGCACATTTATTTAGTGACTATTTTTTTCCTAGATCAAAAGTTTCCATTCATTCCTTTTGAATCATATTCTCCAACAATTATTCTTTTTTTACCATAATTGATACTACTTGTATTATGACCTTTCATTTTGTTAATTCCTTCTCAATGCATCGATACAGTATGGAAATTTGAGTCGGTGTTTATTATTACTAAGCTCCACTTTAATTAAGCGACTGAATATGTTAATTTTAATCACTGATTATTCGGTTACATTTACAAAAAACAATTTCACTATTAATTTTCTTTAAAATTAAGTATAATTTTAATTGATTAATTGGGATGAAAGTGTAAATTTAAAGTTTTTGAATAATAGTTATCAATCACTGATGCTCTCAATTGACTGTTTCATCTTAGGTATTTCCTGGAGTTCTAGTGGGAAGCAGTGAGCAGTGGAGTTCAACCGAGTCTGTTGTGAGATAGTAACTCACTGAAGACGATGGTGGACGGTTGCTGGATTAGTTGAAGTTAGATATTAACACCGTTGGATGCCGGCTGAGTGGCCTAGAGACTAAGCGTTCACACGCGAGACCGATAAGTCCTGAGTTCTAATCTCGCGAAGCAGGATCGTGTATGTGCACTACTGAGGAGTTCCACAGTAGGACGAACCAGCCGTCCAGTGCTTCCAGGTTTTCCATGGTGATCTAGCTTCAATTGACTCATGATCTCAACTATTAAAAATTTCGATAATATCCACAAAACCCCCTTGTGAACTACCTTTACTGAATTGCATTAATATATCATAATGGTATTGTATGCACAGACACACATTCTCATTCCGTTTGAACCTATTATGATTAGATAGATAGAACTGTTTAAACAGTGATTCAGTAATTTGATGAAAATTAACAATGATCATGCAGAAGATTGGCAGCGCAAATGAAGTATTTTTAATGATATTGTTTTATTTCAGTTAAATAGTTTAATTTTGAAGTATTCTGAATAGTATCGACTACTACTTAAGTTATACATAAAGTGAGCGTTAATGATATCCAGAACACTTAACAGTTAAATTATTGAATTTAAATAACACAGCATTGCCCACCATACGATCTTATCATTCAGAATCAATTCAAATCATCTCCGTACGATTCACTTCTCTCCTTCTCTATAGTTTAATCATGGTGAATTTTTTTCTATTTTATGCATAACTTATTAGTTTTATCTATCTATCTATCTTTTAAATCGGTGACATTCGTTGCACAAGTTATTAATGGGCATAGATGATCTAGATAAATAGTCTGAAGTAAATCAACAATTCAATGTTCTCGTGTGTTTTTTTCACAGATTGGTTGGGGTTCCTCTTTTTATTCTACGAGATTAAATTATCTTACTAGCTATCTTTATTTAAATTTGTCTGATTCAAAATAGAATGACAACTGCTGTATGTTTTTTTGTTGTTGTCGCTGTTGATACAATAAATTAATGGCCACCTTATCATGAAATCAGTGTCTTATATTTTTTTGAGGAAAAAAGTAATCGACACCTGTAAAACAATTTTAGGTTTCAATCTTTGTTCCCGTTGGGATTTAAATGATTTACACAATACTTATTTATGATTTTCATTTTGAAAAAAAATCAGAATCTACTGATAGGGAGTAAATGAACTTGTAATTAGTATTGAAGAAGAAACAGGCAGTAGTAGATTGAATCAATTATGGATAACTGGTGATAAGGGGATTTTTTTAATTTAAAAAACAAAATCCCAAAATAGTTATGAATATGCTATTATTTAGTTTAAAATTTTTCAATAGTAAATCATCACCACTTACTGTAGTAAATTTGAAATCATTCAGTTACTGTGTTACAGTCTGCTGATTGCTATAAAACTGGAGGGATAGTTTACTTGGTGATTGTATAATAAACATTTTCAAAATTAATACACTTCAAATTCGAGTCCCAGAGTGAACATCAACTCTGGGATGCAGGTACATCTGTCTAATGAGTCCCAAGTAGGATAAAACACACGTCTTGGATTTCACTATTAGCCACT